AGAGAGAGAGCATGAGCAGTGGGAGAAGCAGAGGCAGAGGGAGAAGCAGGCTCCCTGCTGAGCCAGGAGCCTGATGCGGGGCTCGATCTCAGGACTCTGGGATCATGACCCGAGCCGAAGGCAGACGCTTAACCATCTGAGCCACCCAGGCGCCCCTAGCTGCTCTTAATTCATATAAATATCCAGAGTTGGGATACCAGCTAGAGTGTGCATGCTCAGACTGTGTCAACACATGCTCTGGGGGAACATCCCCAGACACATAAAAAAGTGACCAGAAGTTATCATTTCTCCATTATGGAGCCAGATCACCTCGTAGTCCTCGTGACGGGCTGTAGGATCATGTTCACAGTGGCATGGGTAGAAAATATATGACACTCTAAATGCAGAAGGGATTCCCATTTGTAAGTTACGTATGTGGATTATAAACCATTATTAGAAAACAGAAAAAGTTGCTGGAAGAAACGGTGATAGAGAAATGAATTATAGATAGAACCCATACGTGTAACCATTTTAATATCACTTGATAATTTGATGTTGAAGTTATCAGAGTACTCATTACTCATTTCCCTAAGGAAACCTGATGTGTGTGTGTGTGTGTGTGTGTGTGTGTGTGTGTGTGGTCATCTGTGAAACATTTTAAGAGTACATGGGCTGATGTTGGGCATTTTGAACATTTGCTTCCTCAAAACATGGAATTGAATATTCTTAATTATGATTTCTTGTCCAAACACATAAATAGTGTTTAGAATGTGTCTCAATCATAGTGAAATTGTGTGTATATGTATATATAGTATGTATAAATAAATAAGTAAATATATATAAATATATATTTAATATATAAACATATAAACTACACAGATATAAACTATTTAGCAATTGTACCTTTGCCACTCTTAGTACGGGAAGCAATAAGCGAGGTCTGTCCAAAATTAACTAATAACTGATGCATTATCTAAACAAGCCTAGAATTTTCCTTAAATGCTGAAAAGAAGCAAAGCATACTTGCTCCCTGTCTCTTCTAACCATTCAACCTCAAAGGTTTGCCACTGTCTTCAGGGGTGAAAAACCCAGCTGAGCACATCTCATCTCATCTAATTCTGATCCCAATCACAGTCAGAGCCAGACAATAATGGCTGATTACTCTCCCACCTCACCCCTGCCTCCCACCACCTCCAGCTACCCCACAGCTTCCTGCTCCCATCTGTTTCTCTATTTTTAAGGTGAATATTTGGGAACAGGCTGATTGGCTGACTATTCTGATAGGAAGAGACTGACATACCCGCTCAGTCCCATGAAGGCAGAGGAGCGGGGTGAATAGAAGTGTGCATCATTCTAAGACAACCTTGACCTCCATGATCCCATATTGATAAGGTCCTCCAGACAATGCCCAAAGGAGTTAATTAATATTCTGTTAGCATAGAAGCTTCAACACTTGGTAATGCTCCCTTTGTCAAAAAGAGAATGATTTTTTTTTCTTTCCTTTTTTACTCTTAAGGGAATGTAAGCAGGCTAAGGAGGCTGCATTAGGACAGAAGCAGGAAAGAGAAATGTCTGAGACAATCAGCAGAAGTGGATCTTTCATACCTGAACAAACACGTAATCATCCTGGACAATCAAAGAGTCTGGGTCAATGTAGCCTGGGAAAGGTTTATTTCTGTTGGCCTCTGTGCAGTTCTGCATTCGGCAAGTTAGGTACTGTGAATCTGAAAAAAAAAAAATGGGTACAGGGTATGTATACACACAGAGTATTGGACTCGGAGTGGACATTTTCCATTTCCTTTGCTATCTCCAATTCTTTAAACAAACCTCACATTCTTTAACTGCATTATTGATCCAATTATTATTGTTAAAAGCAGTATCATTATTATTTTACTCACTTTCTAGCAACACCATCACCACTACACCCCAGTGCCTCCACCAAATCTTGCCAGCCTGGAATACTAAATTCTCATTAATTAATTCTCCCCTCCCAAACCTAAATGAAAACATTTTTAAAAACTGCCATTAATATTAGTGATTTTGTTGGGTATTTTTTGTTTTGTTTTGTTCTCCACACTTTGACCTTTGACCAACAGGCAGGGAAACATGGTCATACACGCCATCACCAGTCATCTCATGCAAGAAGTGCACTGTTATAAACAGGAAGATTCTATATCAAGAAAAAGGCTCTTCTTCTCCTAAGAATTAGAAGGGAAACAGAATAGAGAGGAGATTCCTGAGTCCAAAGCTCTGCTCTCATTTTACAGAAAAGTAAACTAATCCCACCTGAGACTTCTGCTGCAGCAGAAGACCCTCTTCTGCCTCTCCCAGCAGATGGGAAATCTATCAGTGATAATAACTTTTACATGGATTTGATATTTTTTGCTGGAAGTACACTGTACCAGAGAGGTTGTCTTGGTTTTTAGACTACAACTATTCTGCCCTGTCTACTGATCAGATGTCGCTTCCTTACTTAAAACTCCTTTTGCCTCATTGTATTTAAAATAAATTCAAACCCTCTAGGACCCACCACTCCAATTTCCCCACATGCTAATCTCTTTTTCTCTCTGTGATTCTTCTCATTTGGCCTCCTTTATGTTCGGAAATGTGGCCAAACTTTCTACCCACGTAAGAGACTTTTCATTTGTATTCCCTCTGCCTGAAATGCTTCTCTCCAGGTTGTTCACAAAGAAAGTTCTAGATTTCAGCGCAGTATTACTTCAGAGAGTCTTCCATGATTACTGTTGATCACACGCCATTTTGTCAATTCCCTTCATGGAATTTATCACAATATAAAATACCTGTTCCTTATTTATTTCTGTCCTTCTCCATTAGAATATAATCTCCTTGAAGACAGTGACTGCCTTTTCTGGTTGTTCACTAACGTATCCCAGGTTCTAATACTGTTCCAGGCACATATTGGGAAATAAGTAAATACTCACTGGAATGTGCTTCTTGATTGAATATATATTTTGAATGTAAAATAAAGTTTTGCTTTTTTATTTTGATGCTGAATGAAAGGGTAAGTTTGCTTTTAGGACATCAGGGATATACACAGAAATCCACTCTTTCAAATTAAAAAGAAATCAGGAGATGAAGACTTACATGAAATGGGGGTACGCAATACTATTGGGTTGGATACAAGGATTCACTAATGACTTCCTGAAGAAAATTTCCAGGATCACCTTTACTTAAGGAACTTGGGTAAACCTGTATTCTAGAAGGAGGACCACTAGGGGGCAGCATGCACGTTTGCTCCATCTGACCAATGACTGATGTAATTGCTGATAAGCTCTTAGGAGACTGTGGAGGAGACCTTTATCTACAATATTCCTTCGTCCTACTGCCATCTGTGCGGATGGGATGGCTCTGAAGTACTTTAAGCCATCTAGTCCCGGTGAAACCATCTCCAGAAATAAACTAAAGAAGAGCCACTACTCACTCTTAATTATCTCCTTTTACAAACATTCTTAGTTTTAGTTATCATAGTTTTGTTTTCAGGCATAACTCAAGATCTTTCTCCTTGAAGAAAATTTCTGTGACTCAGTCCTTCCCCACCACTACAGCACACAAAAATCTTTACCTCACAATTTCACACTCCACCAGAACCTTCTACAACTTTTAATCAACTTCTGTTTTCCTAAAGGTAGCCTGGGGTCACAGAAACAATGGACACTGGCAAGCTAGGAGACCGGGCTTGAGTTCTGGTTTGATCACTTACTAGCTGCATAGTTCAAAAGAAATCATTTCATCCTCCTGAGTCTTGCCACCCACATCCATTAAATGGGGATGCCAACGTCAACGCTCTTGCAGTTTGGCTCTAATTAATGTATATGCTACGTGTTTTTCTAAACTCAAATGTGTACAGATCTCAGTTGTTATCAATAATGGTAATATTCCTATTTTCTCTTTTGCTACCTTCCACAGTGATAAGATCAGTTTGGGGTCACATAGGAGGTCCTTTAAAAGGGTAGTTAAACTGAATTTGAGCACTCCAGTTATGTTTCTCTATCAGTTATGTTCCCTTGGTGACCTGCCAATACCCATTCTTCCCAGCCTCTTTAATGGAAAAGCCAATACTGGATCTGTAGGCTTGTCCTTCCTCCTGTGTGACTGGTAAGTGCTCATATGCAAGGATTAATCCTTCTGGGTCTATGCCCATTCAAGGTCTTCCTACTCCCCTTGCCACTGGTTGGTTCAGGAAAGGGCATTAAGACTGTCATAGTAAATGAGAAGAGAGGGAGGTCTTTTAAGGGGCTGCAGGGGAGGGACCAGGAGCTGTAGCAGAAGACCCTCTTCTGCCTCTCTAGAACACTGTGTCCAATGGGATGCTTGGGACTGCGTTAGCCTTCTTTTTACACAGAGGAGCCAGTTTTACAGTTAAGCTTATATAATGAGTATGCAAAGAGATGGAAAGGACCTATTTCCAGATGATGCTGAGTTACTGATTGTACTGAGCCCAGAGTTGTTCTTTCTCTGTGCTTCTTATGTGAGATAATGAATAAAAACAATGATTAACCAAACTGAATCAAAAGTTCTTGATTAAGAGGTCTTGGTCTTCAAATTACAAATACAACTTCCAATCAGAATTTCTTGGGACTGCCACCTAATGAGGAGTTCTTGATAAATACACAGTGCTTGTTTTATGTGTAATGGAGTCTAAGAGTTTCTTTCTTAAGACTTTAACCTCCTTTTCAAAGGTTCCTGAACAAGCACAAGATGGAAAATATAAAGATACAATTTTCATATTTATAACTCAACTATTTGGAAATTCTGAATCTAAGGGATTTGGGAAGAAAATAAAAGAACAGGGAAACTAACATTTGTTGACCATCTATGTACCAGGTACTCTGAAGCATGTTCACCTTTATTTCATACATTTAATCTTCACAGTATGACAAAGTATAATATATCAACTGATTTTTTAGATAAAGAGAATGAAGCTCAAATAGATCACGATTTATAGAAATGGCATTATGGGTTTCAAACTTGGTTGGCTCCAAGGCTTTTATTTTTACTACTCTATGCTGTGTGAAAAATGCCCGTGAACTGGGGGCCAATTTTTGTTAAGTATATTTTGGCTTTGAGCTAAGTACCAATGCATATACCTAGATACAAAAAAAAAAAAAAGACCAGTAAATTTATATTTCTGTGGGGTAATTTGGCAATATGAATCAAGATCCTTGAAAATGAGATCTTTTAACCTCACGTTCATTTCTGAGAATTCTACCCAAGGAAATAATTAATGATCTATGCAAAGATTTAGCTATTTCAATATTCATCAGTGTTGTTTATAATAGAAAGAGAAAAGAATGGCCAAAAATGGGGGAATAATTTTTGAAAACTTCAGAACATGTACAGTTTGTGATTAAAACCATGCTTCTAAAGAGTATATGAGTATGTACAGAAGTGCTTAATACTTTTCATATAATAAAAACAGGTTACCAATTAATAATATTGTATCAATGTTAATTTCTTAGTTTTGAAAAACAGACCTTGGTTGTTCAAGATGCTAACATTAGGAGAAGGTAGGTAAAGCTGTACTGCTGTCTTGGTAACTTTTCTGTTTACCTAAAATTATTCTAAAATAAAAGTTTTTTAAAAGTAGGTTACCAAAATACATGTGCATCAACCAGATTCTGGGCAAGTTGTATATATAGATACCTACATATGTATGTTTGCCCTGGAAAAATGAATAAAAGATATATAGGAGATGTCAACAGTAACATACAGGCAGTGATGTGAGAGAGGGAGACTACTCTGTATGCAAATCCCCCAGTCAGCATCTCTCAGTCCAGGGGTGGAGGGGGTGTGGTCCACGGTAGGCTTGTGAGATCTGTCTCTCAAGACTTAGAGAACCATCTCTAATTCCTCTGCTTTTCGATCTTACTCCACATGACACATATTGAGGTGGAGCACTATGAGCAATACATGCCATGAGCCTGTCCTTGGGCTAAGAAATACAGAAGCTTCAACTGGGTGACACAAGGAAAGCCCCAGGTAGAGGTCTTAAAACTATTTCTTGCTTAGAGTGGCTCAAAGTGAAATTTGCAAGCTGAAGGGGAAATGAACAGTTTTGAGCTGCCTGCCCCTGGTAAAGTGCTCCTGGTTTGTTCTCTTTCTCCTTCTAATGGAAACAGAAAGAAATTGGCTGCACTTCATAATGAGGGACCAATCACTCTTATTCCCCTTGGGGCTTGCTGTAATAACATTAAGTATGATGAACTCTTTCCATATTCAATTCTAGTGAGTGTATGATGCGATTCCATAGGAAGTATCTTGTAATTTGGCATTAATTAACATCAATTAATGCATGCAACTGCTAGACTTTAGAATTAATTTCATTACTTTCCCCATACAGATGTTTTCCTTGCCATAGATAATTAGGGCCCTGTGAGCTCTTCGCAGGCACCCTCACTCTTTGCAACAGTTGCTGCTTAGCATCACGCAGTTCCCACCCCTGTGAAATCTGTGATCTAGAGAAAGGCCGCCTTTCAAGGGCCAGGCTTTGAGCAGAGGGACAGGGCTTTAAACGCAGGTTCAAGGCCTGCTAGCTTGGTAAACCTAAGCAGTGGCTGCACCTCTCTCAACGCCGATCTGTAAAATGGGAACGGGTGCGAGGCATCTTTCCAGCGGCCGTGACGAGGGAAGAGCTCAGTCATGAAAGGCAAAGAGTCCGGTGCCGGGCTAGTCTGTGCTCCAGGAACAGGAGCTGGGGCTGCTA